AATGCCTATTTAGGACAGAGCTTGCTGGAAAGCACCAAACACATGCAGCTGCACACACCTACACACCACTCCATTTCATCACCCAGCCCTTTCCATCATCTTAATGAGATCTATCAGAGCCCAACAGCAGCCTTTGCTGGGAGACCTGGGCACAGGCTGATGCAACACAGCCTGAATCAAATGTCCTGGTTTGTAAAAACCACTGCTTCTGATGGGCTGTTTCTATCCTCAAGCTTGCTCAGAAGATCTTGATGTGTACAGTTTGATTTAGCAAGAACAGGCAGTACAGCCCAACTCAGCCAAACCAGAACATGGAGAACTTACCAGGGATACCAGCTTTTGCAATAGCAGCTGCAGCATGGTCCTGAGTGGAGAAAATGTTGCAGCTTGACCATTGTACCTGGAAAACAACCAAGTTTTGTTTGCTGAACAAAGTTCTGAGATATCAGGGACTCTATCAAACACAGGACTTAAAAAGGGAGCAAGAGCAGAAGGAAATTAGTGCAGATTCCTGCCATTTTCAGTAGCTCTACAAAGATAAGGTGAGAACTGGGTGTCTGACTAAGTCAGAGAAAATGTCACATGGAGAGAATGTGAATGAGCTTTAGTTGTGCCATATTATATTCAGCCATCTCCTTGCTCACAAGCACTTCTTCCAGACAGCCAGAGCACACTCCAGATCTTCAGGGGGGCCCAACAGGCACAGGATGGGTTTGGGAAGTTTTGGTGAATAAAGGTCAGATTTTCAGAACAGCCCTACAGCAAGTCCACTGAGGGTATGGACATGCAGCAACACACCTGGCACTCACAAGAGTCAGAAATGCAGTTGAAACATTACACTCAATCCAGGCATTCTCTAAGATTATGCTCACCCACCTCCCACTCTGTGTTCCAGTCATGGAAGCTTTTCCAGCTGAGCTAAGTGTTTTCCTCAGATTTCATAACTAGGCTCAGGCACCTAGAAAAGCAACAGCATGTTGCTGAGTTGCACTGAAAAGGATCTGCACACCTACTGCAGCTCACAGCACCACATCCCAGAGCCACATACCCTCTGCTCCCCACAGGGCTGACTGGCAGCTATTCACATGTTCACTGGCTACAGAGCTTGAGTAGAGAGGGCAATAAGGCACAAACATCCAGCCTGTTTTCAGATACTCATCCCACCTGATCAAAAAGTGACATTTTGAAGTAAAGGGTGCAGTAGGAAGCCGCCTATACTACCAACACTTGTCATGAAAACACACCTGGAAGGAGCACAGGAAAACAAAATCCATAACCTAAAGCTGCACCTCCTCACCTGGGTTTTTGCAAGTTCCCCCCATACCAGCAGGTGACATCATGGGGGCAACTTGCAAAAACCCAGGTGAGGAGGTGCAGCTTTAGGTTATGGGTGTCATGACATTCAAAAGTATACAGAATACCTATATACCGTTTACACTTCAGACTCGATACAGACTTGTGGTAGTGACATAGAGCCTAGAATAACTGGAACACCTGACAGGCTCAGACACTAGTATTTACATCACTGGGTATGGAAAGGATTATTTTTTGTTACAAATTATGAAGCACAGAATAATTATTCTATCTTTATTAACCCAGCCAAAAAATGGCCACCAAGGTTACTATGCTGCAGTGAGCTACATCCTCATTACATGGGCTATGATTTTATCAGTTTCATTCCTCCTCCTCTGGGGTTTTCATTCCTCCCTCCCTGGCACCAAAGTTCTGACAGAACAGGTGAACCAGGGCTGAATCCAAACTCAAATCAAAGCCTAAACTAATCCACAGGCATCAGGACAAGGAGTTCACACAGCAACACACACCTTTAAAGGTACAACCACATCTTAGAGAAACCAAGTCTCTGCAGGTACCTGCCTGAATGACTTGGATGAATCCCATATATCACTGGTCTGGGGTTATGCTCAGCTTAAAGCAGCTTGGCAATGTTTAACTAAGCACACAGCTGCCTCCTAGGCCAGCCATACTGGGATGCAGCAACCAACAGGAGCAGCAAGGAGCTTTCCCAAATTTCAATGGCTACTGCTTCCTTTTAAATCCTGCAGAGGGATAGGAGTTCCACATGGAGTGCTGGAACAAAGCCAGTACTGTACCTCCACATCAAAGCTCTCCTTCAGCACTGCACCATTTGCAACCACAGGACAGCTCTGAACAGGCTGGGGAACCCCTGCACAGCAGCATGTACCCTGCCCAGGCTGACCTGGCACAGTGTCCACACCTACCTCCTCCTCTTTTTGAGGAAACACCTTCACAGCTACAGAGGAAACTCCTCCTTCTCCCAGCACCTTTCAATCAGCACAACCCTGCTCAATTCTTAACTGTTTCCAGAGAAGGATGCCATATAGGGCACCTCTGGGCAGCCAAACTGCAGGAAGAAGGAACTTCAGATCATTTACATACTTAACAATCCATCAAAATTCCAGTCAGCTCCCTGCTCAGCACACAAGCAATGCAGATTGTGCTCAGATACCTGGCTCTCCTCATGCCCTGTACAGCAAACACTCAGCTGTGACATCCAGACTTCATTCAGCAAGTCAGGCATGGGACACAAGGCAGTAAATGGCTTCTGAGTGGCTCAGGCTTTAATATGGATGAGAGTGACTGGTTCCTAGTCACACAAAAAATTCAGTGGAGATCCCAGCCCTTGGTCCCTGAAGCCACAGTGCACTCCTTTTCTTTTCCTGCACAGCTGAAGGGCCAGCACAAGCTCTCAGTAAACTTCATTAGATTTTGCTGACATTACCAGGGCAGAGTGGGGTTCTTAATACAGGCTAATCTATGCTGGAGGCAGTCCCTAGAGCTGCAGCATGAGCAGCCACAGCACTGCAAGCCCGAGCACAGCATAGCTGCGTGGCAGCAGCTGTGGGCACTGCCCAGGGCACTGCACACAGGGCACAACAGGCATTCAAAGCTGCAACTTGACCACAGGAAACACACACACCCATACCCCAGAGGTGCTGAGGGCAAGCAACAAGCTTCTTGCTCGAGGAGAGAAGACAAGACAATCCCTCCACGTGGAGATTGCAGCCTCATCCAAAAAGCACAGATGTTTGCCAGGATTCCGTAAGGTGTTACATAAGCAGGAGCAGTGACCTGGCAGAGCGTTACCCAAGAGCTGAGGGAGAAACTCAGAGCCACGTTACCTCAGCCCCCAGCACGATGAGGGTCTCTATGAGCACTGCTGTCTGCACAGTCATGTGGAGGCAGCCGGCGATGCGGGCGCCTTTCAGGGGCTTGGATGCAGAGTACATCTCCCTCATCTTCATCAGCCCTGGCATCTCATTCTCTGCAATCTCAATGGCCTTGCGACCCCAGTCTGCAAGGCTGATGTCAGCTGCAAGAGAAAAAGGACAGGTGTCAGAGTTTGAATAGCTGAGACCTTGGTATCTGTTCACACACTTGTGGGTAGGCACTGGCTGCGACAGCTGAACTGAACACCCAGTAACAGCTGGGAGACAGAGGTACAGAAAAACCAGACCCTATTCCAGTTACTTCCTGGTTCTTTGCTATGGTACACAAGTTTAGACCAAACCTAACAGCCCCTCATGCTACTCCAAGAGGGTATAAATCAACTGTGATCTAGTGCACATACATCCCGAGGCCCATGAATTCAGTAAGCCACAGCCTTAAGCACTTTTTACAGACATTCCCCAAAAGTCCCAAAACTTCCTACAGGATTTCCACAGTATTGACCTGCGTGTAGGGAGGGGTTGGCTGTAGGGCAGTGGCTTCCCACACTGAGAATGCTCCCTAAGAGTGCACCAGGAGCTGAACCCAGCTTAGCTCCCACTCCTCACAGCAAAGCTGCAGGTCCTTCCCCATTGGATCCACAAGAATCATTTTAAGTGACTGTAATTATCTTAGTTACCAGTCTACTTCTACTTTTGTAAAAAGTATCTACAGCAGAAAAGTCCAGCAAAAAATGAGCAAGACAGATTTCTGACAGGCTTACTGTATTCATCATGGATGCCCAACCCCAGCCTTAAAAACACAAGGGTCAAGCAGGTAATGCCCAGCTGCATCAACTCTGCAGCAGCAGCCAACACAGATTGTCCTTTTTAGTTGGTTTGAGATTCTTTGAGAGATTTCAGAAGTTCACCATTCCATTTAGACCATAGTCAGATGCTTTTTTGTCACCTACCTCGTGAACACAGATTGTTTAGAGCACTAGGGAACACCAGAACTCCGAGTCAGACTGCTGGGTTTAACACAGACACACTAATTGCATTCTGCTGCAGAACGAAGCCTGGGGCCACTGAAGCTATTGCACGTGCTAGAGCTGACTGGAGCACAGCCTGTACACCACTAGGACTGAAACCTGCCTGAAAACAGGCCAGGAAAGGACGATAGAAACAAACATATCAAGAGGAGGAGGTTTAATCTTACCCCTGTTAAGGGCTTGGTAGCTTAACCAGGGCTGCTTTAAAAATACCCTACAGTATTTTAGGTTCAGAGCCTCTAGGGTAAATTATTTATGAATCTGAGCCTTACATACCAATGTTCTTTGAATGAAGCCTCCAAGGAACACCCAACTCTTTATATAAACTGGGATTCTTTGTGAAGTTTCAGGTCTAGTGAAATACCCGCCAAAACCTTCAGGGCACATGAGTCAAAGGTCCCGGGATGGGAAATACTTTTACCTTCGGAGCTAAGCCTGTTCCCGCCAAGGGCTCTGAGCGGCGGGAGAGGGACTGGGCAGCCGAGCCAGGAGAGCGGCACAACCGCGAGTGGGAAGCCGGCGGTGCCGCTCCCTGAGCCCCCTTCCCCCGCGGTGGCTCCCCCAGCGCACAAGGGGCTCAGGCCCGGCTCCGCCGCGGGCAGGACCCGCCGTCCTCCCCCCCGCGGCCGCATCCAGCGCGGCGCCGCAGCCGCCGAGGCCGCGCTCCCCGCACCGCACCCGCCCCGGCCCGGGAAAGGTGCCGAGCACGGCGAAGTCGGCCCAGGGCTCGCACTCACCCACTTTGTAGGGCAGCCGGTCCGACATGGTGGAGCTGCGTGGCCGGCGAGCAGGAGGAGGCAGTAGCACCTCCGGGCGCGCTTTAAGTAGAGGCGGTGCCGCTTGCGTGAGGCGGGGCCGGGCTGCGCTTGGGCGCTGGGCCGGCGCTTCTTCCGGGCCGGGCCGGCCGCGGGCCCGCCTCCTCTGCGAGCAGCGAGGGCGCGGGGTCCGTGGGCTGTCCCCAGAACGTGCCCCCCGCTCCCTAGAACCTGCCCCCCGCTCCCTAGAACCTGTCCCCCGCTCCCTAGAACCTGTCCCCTGGCTTCTGCCGCAGCTTCAGCCCCGTGCCCGAGCAGGCTCTGGCGGCCGCCGCACCCCCCACCGCTACTGGTGCCAGCACGGGAGCCGGTGTATAAATATCTGCAGGGATGGCTCAGAGCATGGACCAGGTTCTGCTTCCTGGGACCCAGCGATGGGATAAGAGGCAATGTGCAGAAGCTGAAGAAAGTTCCACCAACATGAGGAAGATATTTATTTTGCAAGTGACCACTCACTGGAACAGATTGCTAGAGAGGCTGTGGAGTCTCCTTCACTGTAGATATTCCAGGCCCGTGCTGTGGGATGGGTCTCTTTGACCCAGGATGTGGGACCTGAAGCCGCACTGTGGTCCCTTCCAGCCTCACCCATTCTGGGATTCTGTACCATGAAGCCACAGCAGGTCCCAGGGCAGTGCCAGGAACAGCCCCGATTCCCGATGCCAGGCCTCACCACATGGACACTGAGCAGACAGCACTCCCTGTTTCACTTCCCAAAGAGGATCCCATGAGATGTTCAGTGTGAAGTGTTACTCTTGGGCACACAGACACTGCAGCAGGGCCTAAAGCAATGGGCAGGATACAACTGGTGAGATGCCAGGCAGAGCTGGGGCCAAGGTGTGAGCAGCTCTGTCGCCCTGGACCTTGGACTTGGCTGCAGGCAGTTCCCCTCCCCAGCCTGCAGCCCTCTGCCAGGTGCTGGGCAGGGCTGCCAGCCCCTAGGCACAGCCAATGCCTGCTGCGCACGCAAGAGGCACAGCCCCGCTTCGGCCTTGCCTGCAGGTCACACACACATCTGCTTCTGTTCTAACGTCTGAAATACGTTTTTCATAAGCCTCAGTCATGAACTGGGATGAACTTTCCAGCCACACTGTTATACATGTCTCCTTTAACCCGTGAAATACATAAGAGTGAGGATTTCCTTATAATTACACAGAAATTCTCATTGAATTCTTTTGAAAAGTTTGAAATAGATCTCAGTGCAGAGTTTATCCTGAGACCCCAGTTCCCACTCCACCCTGGAAAGGTAATTATGAGGGTAATTATTTTTTCAGGTGAGCAGCAACTGATCTTCAGTGACTGTCCTACAGTGAACAAACCACAGAAATCCCAGTGGAACACCTGGACAGAGACAAGCAGTACACATGGAAATGGCAGGATTTCGGTAGAATACTCAGAGTGCTGCAGGTGCACTGGCACACCTGATACCATACAAAGGAGTTCTGTAAATCAAAAGTTCTGTAAATCAAAAGATTGATTTACAGAAATGTAAGCCTGAAGTACAGGCTTCATTCCTTTCATTTTATCCCTCAGCATCCAAGCACACTTAGTTCCTCTCTAGGGATAACACAAAATTCCCCACTGGGGCTGCAGCTTCATGGGAAATTCCCCATGAAGCTGCAGCCCCTCCGGGGCTCAGCCCTGCCCCAGCTCTGGGTTCTGAGCACGGGAAGCACCTGGAGCTGTTGGAGGGAGTGCAGAAGAGGCCCCAGAGATGCTGCAGGGGCTGGAGCCCCTCTGCTCTGAGGAAAGGCTGAGAGAGTTGGGGTTGCTCAGCCAGGAGGAGAGAAGGCTTGGGGCAGTCCTCACTGCGGCCCAGCAGGACTTGGTGGGCGCTGGGGAAGGATGGGGACAGAGTGTTCAGCAGGGCCTGTGGTTAGAGGAGAAGGGAGCATGGATGGAAACTGGAGGAGCTCGATTTAGCTTTGATCCGAGGAAGATGTTTTTCTCCCACGAGGGTGGTGAGGCCCTGGAACTGGCTGTGCAGAGAGGCTGTGAAGCCCCATCCATGTGAATATTCAAGGCCATGCTGGAAGGGGCCCTAAGCAACCTGGACTGGCGGGAGGTTGATCAGGTTGGAACAAGATGATCTTCAGAGACCCACCCAAGCCAAACCATTCAGGGATTCAATCATTTTACAACAAAAAACACCCAATCTGAAGGGGCCCTGGAACTTCTGTCATGTCACATATTCATTGTGTCACAGCCAGTGTTCCAGGTGCAACTTCCAGCATCTCTTCATGAGCACAACACAACCATTGCCCTTGTAGTCAGCAGAGCCTTCAGTCTGCTTGGAGACCACCCTTCACTCTGGTTGCATCAGACTGCTCTGAGCTGCTCCTTGCTCTTGGCATCAGTCCTGAACTTTTCATGCTGCCTGGATCTTAGCACCAATCCCAGCATGATGTGCACTCCTCTCCCAGTGAAAGTACACTGCCATTCCAGGGAGGGGGTCACCCCCTGACTGCCCAGGCAGGCTGGAGCCCTGCATAGACATACAGGAATAACAGAGATGGTGAACACGGTCAATTCTGTATTTAGATGTCTAAATTGTTAAGTTCTTCTGTAAATATGTTTATTAGATTCCAGGTGTTCTTTAGGTCCCCTATACTGTAAACACATTTCTAAGGTTGGTTTAATTGATGTCCTTTAGTCTGTTAATATGTTTGCTATGTTACTGTTTTAGACAGATCTTCTAAACTGTAAATATTTTTTATAGATTGCTGTTGTTATAAGAATTCTTATATTGTACATGTTCCATAGTTTTTTGTTGTTTCTGCTTTCTGTAAATACATTGTCCTTGTTTGTCACAGCCCAGCTCTCTTTGCATTTTCTTTGGGCACAAGCAGCATTTGCAGAGTTGTGGTTTCCACTTTCTCTGGGTTCCTGGGGCTGGAGGTCCCTGGGGGTGCTGGCATGGACACCTGGGGCTGGGGGTCCCTGTGTACAGGGGGTCCCACTGATGCCACTCCTGCAACTGGGCACTGCTCATGTTCCTGGGCTGCTGCAGAGTGGTGTCCCCAAGAGCAAAGCTGTCACCAGCAGAGAGGGGGCTCTGACGGCAGCAGCACCTACAGCAATGCCACAAAAGCAGGGAGGAAACATTTGGCTGCCCTTCCTGCTGGAGCCACGGGGACTTCTGGGCCGAGCCAGCATCAGGCCACAGGGATACAGAATCCACATTCACACTCTAAAGGTCATCACAGCCTTGAGAATTGCTGGAGCCAGGATCTGGGGAGCAGCTTTTGCAGCTGCAGGGGCCAATGCTAAAGGCTTGGAGGAGCCCCCACACAGCACACTCGTTCCTTGCTGACCCGGAGCTTTCCTGAGGCGTTACTCCTGCAGGTGACCTCGTGGCCAGACCACAGGACTTGGTGACCTCTGGCCTTGCCGAGGCTTCTCTTCTGCAGGTGCCCTTGAGGGCAGACTGTGGCATTCACTGAGCACGGTCCTTGACGAGGAGTCTCCTGTCCTTGTCGCTGGAGGCCTCGAGACCAGAGTGCAGGACTTGCTGTCCTGTAGCCTTGCCAAGACTTCACTCTTGCAGGTGCCTTCAAGGCACAACTGCAGCACTTGCTGACTCCAACCTTTTCCCAGACATCTTCTCCTGCAAGTAGCCATGAATCCAGGCAGTGACCTAGAGCAGAGACCTGTGAGCGTGCCCAAGCTGGTCTGGGTGAAGGAGGAGAAAGAAGGCCCTGGAACTGCTCCAGCACAGCAGCCTGAAGAGGTGGAGCAGTTCCAGCTACTGCAGAAGGGTGAGTGGTAGAGGTGGGCCACAGGGCTAGTGCCTGAAGCCAGCTTGGCCCCATCCCATCCCATCCCATCCCATCCCATCCCATCCCATCCCATCCCATCCCATCCCATCCCATCCCATCCTGTCCCATCCCCTGGGGACATGCCCATGGACAGGACAGAGCAGGGGCCGGGGCAGACACCCCACAGCCGTGCTCCATGCCCTGGGGTGTGGCAGGGCTGTCCCTGCCTGGGGAGCGCAGGGCTGGCCTTGTGTTCTCCAGCCTCTCCCGCAGCCCCTCAGCTCAGGCTGCGCTCGCTCTTTGCCAGGTGCAGCCGTGCAGCGCGCACAAGGGCAGGAACGCACCCGTGGCCTCTTCCGCACGACAGCGCAGGTACCTGCAGCCATCCCCAGCCGCGCTGGGCCTGTTGTCACTGCTCAGCCCAGCACCGTGCTCGGAGCACTGCATGCAACATCCCCGGCTTCTTGCCCTTCTGCTACAGATGGTTGGCAAATTCATGAAGAGGATGCGGGAGGAAGAGACCAGCGGCACGGGCACCGTGCTCAGAGCGTACCCTCCCATCTTCAAAACCAAGACCAGTGCTGCCCTGCTGGATATGCTTGTGGAGGAGGGTCCTTCCAGTCCAAAGCAAGTAAGCAGCCTGTGGCCTGGTTTCCATCCTCCCAGCAATTGCTTGGCCTCCCAAGCCACGCCTGCTGCTCACTGGAAGCCTTGAGGCCATGGCAGTGTGGTGGCAAGGGAAGTACTTTTTTGGGGCAGCTGGGCACATTACTCCCTCTGGCAGCTTTCCAAGTCCCCCCTGCCTTCTCCAGGTGCCTGCCATGGTCAGGTACATCCAGCAGTGGCTCACGGCCAACAAGTTTCCTGACTACAACCTCTACAGGCCCCTTCTGGATCTGACAGAGGCACTGCCCACTGATGTGGTGATGGCTCTCCTGCGTGTGGCCCCATCATGTGACAGGTACGGGGCCCACGTGCCCACAAGGCTCAGGCCTCAGCAGCCCATCACCCTGTACAGCCTGGCCCAGGAGTCTGACACACAGAGAATTCCAGGGCCCTCTGGCTCCTCCCTTTGCCCGCCCCGGCATGTCAGCCCCCAGCGTGCTGCCATGCTCTCTTCCTGCTCCTCAGGGGCCAGTCCCCACAGGGCTGGGCTGCCTGTGTGCTGAGGGACAGGGGGCAGAGGCAGGGCTGGCAGCCAGCTCAGCTCCCTGCTGCGGCCCAGGCCACAGTGCTGTGTCCCAAACCCCCCTGAGACAGAGCTCTGACCCCACAGAGCTGCTACCACCATGTGGAAGAGCATCATGTGCTCATGCAGGACTGCAGAGCCGGCCATGCTCATACTCCTTGACGTGCTGGCCAACTGGCCAGAGCACAGCACGTGCACCTCTGATGGGGACCACACGGCTGTCCTTGCCCTGGCTGTGGGTTTCTGCAACTGGCCTTTGCTCACCCCAAGCTCACCTCTCCATCAGCTCTCCATCCTCCCTTGCCCACAGTGTCTCCCTGCCTCAGGCACTGGGCGGAAACCTGGCCTAGGGGCAGCTTCAGAGCCACCAGGCCCGGTTGCTCCCCCCCGTGTCTCTGCTGGCCTCTCCTTGCCACGCTCGGGCTCAGCCACACGGACACCTCGGGGTGCTCTGTCCTTTGCAGGCAACTGTCGTGATGTGGAAGATCCTCCAGATGCCCTGTGTTGCACATGTAGTGACCGTGCATTTCCCCTGCCTCTTTATGCACCTGCTCTTCCAAGTGCTCTTCAGCACCTTGGATATGACAGAGGTGGCTGATACCTTCTGGAAGGGATGCCAGCAGCAACACGGCCTTGCCACCGACCCCAACAGGTGCTCCATGCAAGTCCTCCTGTCCCTGCCACGTGCCCAGGGCAGGTGCCAGTGCCCCCAGCGTGACCTGGGCTTTGTTGTGCACACAGCTTTGCAGAGCAGACCCTGAAGGCCCTGCTCTGCCAACTGCACTATGAGGATGTGGTGGCGGCAATGGAAGACAAGCGTGGCTGGGACACGCTGCTCTGTGCTGACACCCACCACTGTGCTGTGGGCATGCTGGCCAGGTGAGACCCCCTGCTCCCCAACTGCCCCCAGCATTTGTGCCCTGCGCCCGGGGTGCCTCACACAGTCCCTGTGGTCGTGGGCCACAAGGCCTTGTCACCAAGGCACGGCCAAGGAGACTGCAAAAGGCTGGGAGAGGAGCGTGCCCAAGAGCAGCCACCTGCACGAGGGCCTGGCTCCCCCTTGCAGGGTGCTGGAGAAAGGCCTGACCTCTGTCAGTCAGTCCTGGGAGAGCTTTACTCCTGCCGCCTCAGGGTTTTGCTTCCGATTTCCTCCTATCAGAGAAATGCACCACGCATCCGAAGCCTTGTGTTCTGCGATTGCATTCCACCTGCTGGGGCTGCTCAGCAAAGACCTGCCATGCCGGGATTTGGCCACCATGGCGTCCCTTGTGGAGGTGAGCCTGAAGGCCAGCGCTGCCTGGCTGAGCTGCCTCCCAGCTCTCTGCCCTCTCATGGCCGCAGCTGCCCAGGATGGTGCCCGCGCCCTGTGCTGCTGCCTGGGCCCGGCCCTGTGGGGCTCCCCCGTCACCGGCCTTGTGCCTTTCAGATCCTGGACTGCCTGGACTTGAGTGAATGCCGTGACAGCGTCCTGGAGGTCATGTCCAAGAACTTGCAGAGCCAGTGCAGGGAGATGTATGGCTTGGCCCTCAGAGGCCTCCTCGTGCTCGGCACCAGTCTTTCGGTGAGAAGAGGGCAGCAGCTGAAGCCATGCTGCCAGCGTGGGGCTGGGGAAGGCAGTCGCTTGGCCTTGGCTGGCCTTTGGGCGCTGAGGCAGCTGCTCCCAGCTCTCCTGCCTCCCGCTCCAGCTGCCCCAGTGCTTTGGCACAGCCCTTTGGCCTCTGGCCCCTGTGGCAGCAGGATTGTGTTTCACACACTCGTGTTCCACACAGGCCATAAGAAGGTGGAGCCTGCATGAAAGGCTGGTGGAGCTCCTGCAGGAAAATGACAGCGACATGCTTAGGATGACCATGGTTCTCCTCAGCGGTTTGTTCCTGTGCAATGGCGCCCCCATAGCCAGCCCCCTCGCCCTGCAGCTGGCTGGGGCGCTCCTGCCGCTCTTTGACAATGTAAGGCTCTGCGCCTCCAGCCACGGCCACCGGCTGCTGCCCGCAAACTTTGTGCCCCGTGCATTTTCAGGCCTGTGCCCAGGTGGGCGTCAAGCAGCCGATGCCGAGGTCTCTTTTCCTTTCTTTCATACAGGATGACAGCCAAGTGCAGTTGTGCTCCATGTTCATCTTCCGAGAGATGCTGTATTTTTTACCGGAAGGGGACAAAAAGTCCATGAAGTCATACATGCACCAGAGCCTGCTCCCACTCTTCTTCCACTGCCATGACGAGAACCAGCGCATGGCAGAGGTGAGGACTCAGCGGCTCCTGCTGGCCCCTGGCAGGGGGCTTGGCTGCCTCCCGCTCTGGTGCCTCGTGCAGCCTCCTCCTGGCCTTGGTACGGGCACCTGTGCGGGTCCCGTGCCCTGGGCTGTGGTGCCATTTGGGGGTCTCTGCTGCTCTCCAGGCCTCCCGGGAAACACTGCATTGTTCAGCCACATTCCTGCACAGGAAGGATCTCCAACACATGCTGCGGCTGGATCAGACCTGGAGGTTCGGCGAGGGCCTGGTAAGGACGGCCCGCAAGCCCCAGCCTCGGGCTGCAGAAGCCCCCTGGCCGCGCTGCTCAGTGAGTGCAGCTGGCAGCTGCGCCCCTGCCCAGCGCTGCAGCCAGGGCCGCCAGCCTGCGCCCCACACACCGCTGCCTTCCCTGGGCCGCGCGGGCTCTGCTCCAGGCTCCTGTGGCCCCGAGGCGGGCGCCGATGGAGCCCCAGCCCAGTCTGCTGCTCCCTCCAGAGCCTGGCTCCAGGGCTGTGTGGCAAGGAGAGGCCAGTGCTGGCTGCATGGAGCGCCTGGCCAAGGGGCTGAGCCTGCACCCACTGCACCTGTGGAGACCTCTGGGCCTGCCAGGTGACTTCCTGAAACTATGCCCTGGAAGAATGTCCTCTAGATTTTAACCCCTCCCATGGGCTCATGTGACATGCTGTCAATCAACCCTAGTGCCACTCCACTTGTTGGTCCATTGACTATTCAACCGCCTGTTAACCATATATGGTCAAGCTTGTAGCAGTTTCTGTGTACCCTCATTGGCCTGTACCCTTGTCTGTTTATCCTTGTGTTTCCCTTTTGGTCACTGTAATCCTTTTCCCGCTCACACTTTCAGGTGATTGCTTGTTGCTGTTGGCTCTGCCCTTTTGTACCACTATATAATCCTGGCTCCTCTACCTCTCCCTGTCTTTGTCCCTGGACCCTTTCAGAGTGGAGCCATCTGGAGCCCCAAACCTGGACCCATTCTGCAGTGTCCCTAAAAAGCCTCTCCAAGAGGCCATGGCCCTGGGATTTTCACGGTCCATTCGGTGCTCCTGATCCCCAAAGATTTCCAATTTTCTGTGGACTTTTCGGAGGGGGTGACCAACATTCCTGTAAGTTCCTGAGGAAGCAGAAGACCGGTTCCTTCCTCAGGAGCCTCTAGGAGATTTTTTACTTTGACCCACCAATGTGGTGAGTGTTGGTTTGGTTGGGGTCAATTTTTCTTGTTTCCTTTTAATATCTTAGGGGGCAGAGTGTGTGAGATGGGTTCCAGTCTTTCCTTCTCATAGCAGGAAGTTTATATACAAGTTAAAAAGACCATGATAGATAAGAATGTTAAATATTCAAAGGCAAATTTAAGGGCTTTTATTTGTTGAGTCTTCAAACATTTTAATGATGCAACACGGAATTCTGTTCTTTCACTTAGTTTGTGGGATATAAATAATGGGGAGGAAATTGTATCTCTTACAATCAGAGGGGAATTTTCAAGTTGGGAAGTTTTACCCTATTTTTCGTTTAATTTATGACATGATTGCAGGCTTGGGGAAAAGTTTGGCAGCTGTTAATAGTTCTACATGCCGGTTACAGCCCCAGTTGTTGTATCCCTCTCCCCATGTACCATCACCCTTGTCCCCTCAGGAGAGGCCAGGAGTTGGAACCCGCCCAAAGGCGCAGGAGTGCCACCAGCCTTCTGCCATCTCCTGCCTTCCTCTGTCCCCTTCTCAGGATGGGCCCGTACAACCCATCCTGGGTTCTAACCTAAACCTCCTTCCTCTGCCCATTTACCCTTTCTCTCCATCGATTCTTATGTGTCAAAATGGGTACCGGCCCATGAGGGGACCCGCCCTTCTGACTGAATTCTGCCAAATCCTGCTGCCCAAAATGGCACTGATCTCATGAGGGGATCTGCCATTTGGAGCCCTTCTTCACCAACATTTCTCACCTTGTCACATCAAAATAGCGTACGTGACCCTCCTCCTGTTCCCGCTCCCACTCTTCCGTCGGGCTCCTCCCTTTCCAATGCGGGCCCTGTCTCCCTTCCCTCCTCCAGCTCCACCCTTAGCAACAATGACACTTCTGGTTCCCATGTCCCTGGGACCGGAAGTAGATATGATGGTGAGTGGAAGGAAGCCATCTTGGTTACCGGCACCCCGTGGCATTGAGCCTTAGCGGTCAACTGCAGGCCCTGCACCCCTCTTATTCAAACACCCCCCTCTACAGAGGAGTCCAGTGATTCCTCAAGCTCTGATACCGAGCCTGTGGATAACTGGACAGAGGTGCGGAAGTTTGCTGCTTGGGATGGAAATTGGGAGATAGCTGGGAAATTAGCCACACCAGTTGTGTTCAAACAGGGAAGGAGCCCAAAATGGGAAGCAATGCCTTACAAGGAATTAAAAGAGCTTTGCAAGGCTTGCAAAGACTATGGATGGAGGTCACCTTACTTTAAAAATTTACTTAATGTGACTTTCTCAGCCCATGCTCTTGTGCCGCATGACGTCCAGCACATGATGTCTCTCCTCCTCTTGCCTACTGAACTCCTTTTGTGGGAGTCATTGTGGAAATAACAATTAAAGGTCCGAATGTAACAGTGATTTTGTTCAGCGGCACCCCTCCTCAAACTGTCCATCTGCATCTTGTTCCGATTGTAGAGAACATTATAAATACTGTCCCCACTTTCAAAGCCACCAACAGCTCTATCATCAGCCAGCTTACCAACCAAATCATCAACGCCGTCTGGGCAACTTTCAGCTGAGTGCCGGGTGGGCCTGTGCAACAATAGCAAATGCCAAGCCATTTCACGCCTCTCTCCTGACCACCTTAGAGAGCCAACATGCAGGGAAGTAATTTATGATGACACCTACTATAAAAAGGAATTCAAACTCCAGGAATCCTATCCAAAAGTTCAACCAGGTACCTGAAGCATACTGGTAAGCACATTTGCAATCCATTTCTCTAATGAAATCATTTACCACCTTCCAACTGGTAAATCCGGCCATTTCACAACACCAAGGGACGTTTTAGTTATTGGGGACTCTAGTTTCTGACTTGATTATTTACAAGTGTTACTGGAGGTTCAAACTGTACAATGGAATGATGAAATTACAGTGACTGTTGCATGCACTAGTCCCCCTTGGTTTTTGCCTCAACATACACCTATTGCTCAGGCTTTTTTATTACCGGATTCTACAGATATTGTCCCTGAAAATCCTACTGCTTTCTGGGCAGAGATTGTGGGCCATGACAGACCCATCACAGAATGTGGCCTATTGAGCAAAGGGGTTAAAGTCTTTCTCTTAGGAGTGGTGGACACTGGAGTAGATGCCACCATCATCGCCCGCTCTGTGTGACCAGAAGAATGGGAGCTTGTCCCCACAAATAGTGTCATCTCAGGAACTGGAGGAGCAGCCACTTCTATGAGAAGTAAAAGAACAGTCTTCAGGGAAGGAGCTGGCGGCCAAATTGGTATGGTTGGACCGTTTCTAGTGAGGGCAACTGTCACGCTGTGGGGCAGAGACATACTATCACAATGGGGTACCAGGCTAGAAATCCCTTCTCCACCACAGGATTTCTAGCTGGGGACAGTACAGAGCACACCACTCCTCTGCTCACATGGAAAAGAGATGATCCAGTTTGGGTGGTTCAGTGGCCCTTCACTGAAACCAAGCTAAAGGCGCTCAAAACCCTGAGAGAAGAACAGTTACTCAAAAGGCATATTGTTCCATCAAATAGCACTTGGAATACTCCAGTCTTTGTTATCAAAAAACCTGGAAAAAATAAATGGCAGCTCCTACAGGACCTTCGTAAAGTCAATGCCATCATTGAGGACATGGGCCCCCTCCAGCCTGGCCTGCCCTCAGCCTCAGTGTTGCCCCGGGATTGGAAATTAGCCATTATTGACATCAAGGACTGTTTCTTTAATATTCCACTCCATCCCTGACATGTGCTAAGATTTGCTTTTTCAGGACCATCTTGAAATAGACAAGCTCCCCTCAAACATTGGCATTGGTTAGCTCTTCTGTAAGGAATGAAGAATTCACCAGCCATTTGCCAAATGCATGTGGCCCACATCCTTTCACCTATTCAAGAAACATTTCCAGATGCAATAATTTTACATTATATGGATGATATCCTAATCTGTGCCGAGACTAACTCCTAGCTCTTATGTTGAGCTTATGCTCAAAAGGACTACTCAAACTACCAAAGAAGCAGGGATTCCTGAGCCAAGGGAAAAATCCAGCGTACCCGCCCATGGACCTACCTGCAACTTCAAATTGGCGAGCAGACCATGGCACCCTAGCAACTCTCCATCAAGGACAACACAAGAACCCTAAGGGACCTACATCAACTGTGCAGAGCAGAAGTTTGGTTTGTCCACTTCTGGGAATCACAATGGAGGACCTTGCACCACTCTTTAACATCCTGCGAGGTTGTGAGGACCCATCACGCCAGAGGCCTGGGAATCTATCCAAAAGGTATCTCAGGCCCCATCCATGAGGAAGGTTCATGGGGTGGATCCTGCTTTACCATTTCAATTTGTAGTTCTGGGTATGTCACCCAGATTTCATGGATTGACTTTTCAATGGGATCCCACCCTAAAAGATCAACTCTTAATCACTGATTGGGTGTTGAGGTCCCATCAGCCAATCAAAAGTATAACAACAGCACAAGAAGTGATGGCTCAACCCATTATAAGAGCTACAGCTCATCTCTGGACCCTAGCGGGATGTGACTTTACATGCATCTACATCCCATTGGCTACTTGTCTTGGTTTTGAAAGACAGGTGCCTGCTAAGGAAGGCAGGAGCCTCCCCTGAAATGGAGAATGGAAATCTTCTTCATCTCTCTGAATTGCTATGAATTTTAAATTAAGGGACTCTCAGGCAAAAAATATGGGAGCAGGAAAACACAGTTCTTTAATAGGGAAGAAAAAATAGAAGGATAATATAAAACAATGCAATACACTAGAACAACACTGACAGAGTCAGAACTCGACACCCTGTTGGTCAGGGTGTTGGTAGCAGTCTCACTGGAAATGTGGCTGCAGACTTCTTGAAGTGTCAGGTGTGGTTCTGTTGGAGCAGGGGATCTTGTAGAAAAGGGTGTATGCTTTTTCTGAAGATCTAGTGGAAGAAGAGGCAGCTGCTGTTCTTCTGGGAAATTTAGTGGAGAAGCTGTGCTGGTGTTTCAGAACTTCTGGATTATATCTGTGTAGCAATGCTTGGCTCCTCCCTCTGGGTGGAGCATCTCACAATGGGATGC